GAGCCACACCGACGGGGCTTTTCTTTTGCCTTTGCCACTTGAGTAGGCTTTGGGGTGGAAGTGAGGGGCATGACGAATGTCCAGTCCATGGCGGGCGCGGGCGCCGCTGTAGACAGACACGTGGAAAGACACCGCTCTGGTGTAGTTGTTCTGGAGCCCCAGGAAAACGGAGTTTCTTTAGATTACTCTGCATACTTCATTTCCTTTCTAGGACGGTGTGGATTTCTGTGAGATTAGGTAATTTTTTGAGAACTTGGAAATATTTTGAATTTTTTCTGTACAGGGCTGTCCTTAGTCATTGTGGTAAAGATTTCCAACTCATTAAGAAGTGTATAGTTCATTATAATTTTTTAAATTTAAAATGTTTTAAAATGTTTGATAAGATTTAATATATTTTTCCTACCGTATATAACGTGAACATTATAGCATACTACTTCCAAAGAGATTCTAGCATAATTGAAGTGACGTTTGATCTTTCACAGCCATAGATATTTTATTATATGACGTGGCGCTGGTGCGTGTGCTAATTCAGCCTGTCATTCTATGAATTCGTTGCCATGTTTGTGATGATCGCATGGGGGTGCTGCCAGTGCCCTCAGGAACCCTTCTGATAATCAGAAATACACTCAGAATTTCAGTGTCAGAATTTCAAAATGCATTTTAGTTCTTAAAGAACGTTCATGTGATTGGCAATTTTTCCTATTCTCTTCTGCCATTTAATTTGTTAGAGCATGCGCCCCATACCAGGCTAGGCCATTGTGTGTAACCATACAAGCGAATGAGAGTGGGTCACAGATGGAATGAAGATTGGGATTTTTGCATTTTAATGTTTTTGCTTTGCTGAGTGTGACGTAATGAAGAGTTATTTTGCTCACTAGTAACATTTTACTGTGATTAATACCTAGGCTCCTGGGTTTGGATTTGGAATTGCAATATCCGGCGGGAGAGATAACCCTCATTTTCAGAGCGGGGAAACCTCCATCGTCATTTCCGACGTGCTGAAGGGAGGACCTGCCGAGGGGCAGCTGCAGTAAGTGTCTTCTCTGGGCGGCTGTGGCACAGCACGTCGCCAGCCTGGGCCACTGGCGTACTGTTCGTGCAGTGGCCCCCCAGGAAGCTCCTTCAGTCGTATACGTGTGTCCCTATCTCGGTCATAAAGGGAAAGCGAGTATACCAGCCTTAAATAGGTCGCTGTAGGAGCGACCGTGGACGGAAAACTTGTACTCAGCTTTGGGTGGAATCTAGCTTCTGGGAGCCTCTCATCCTGAGTAAGATTATCAAGGTAAAAAGTGGCAAAAGATATAGTAGCAAAAAAGTAAGAGTAGATTCAGAAGGATGAAAGGAAGGCTGGAAAGACAGAGTATTTTTTTAAAAGGGGGGAATAACTTCCCAGCTCTGTGACATAGTATCATTTATGCCCTGTACTTGTACCACCAAAATTACTTTGTGTGTTGTGGTCCCTGTTCCCTCCTTTGGGAAACATTGTGTTAATTGTTTAAAACAATGGTGCTCTGTGGTTAGCTGTTGGCTAAATGTGCAGTGCGGGAGATCTGAAATAAAGTTTGACATTTTATCATTGGCCTGAAGACAGACAGATTAATTAGGCCATAATGACAGTATTTTTTAGAAGTCCTCATCTTGAACATATCTTCACAAACTTCCCTGTCTTTGTCTAACATGACGTTCTGATGACTTTTGTCCTTAGGGAAAATGACCGTGTTGCGATGGTTAATGGAGTGTCCATGGATAATGTCGAACATGCCTTCGCCGTTCAGCAGCTGAGGAAGAGCGGGAAGACGGCGCGAATTGTAAGTCTCTCGCCTTTCCTTTTGGACAGTGCCAGCTCTGTTGTCGATACCCTCTGGCGTTTGCATGGGTCCTTCCTCTTTGCGAAAACGAAACCCGTGCGGTTGTTCTGAAGTTAGTCGTCTTTGTAAGAATGTGTCTTCTGATCCCGGGGAGCAGGCTGTCTCGTCACTGGTGTGCTTATTTTCTCAAGCTCAGATAGCAGGATTTTTTCGGTTGCAAAAGGAGGGGGGTTGAATGGTTATTTAACCTATTTGTGGCTTAAAGTTTCCTTCTCTTTAGGTACAAGCGACATTGAGTCTTGGCTTGTAGTCTGAAATATACAGGGTGGGGCAAAAGCAGGTTTATAGCTGTCAGTATGGAAAACAACACAGTAATAAATAATAGTACAAGCATAAACCTCCTTTCTCCACCCTGTTTAGCCCTGTTTTGTTAAAGGGTTTGTTTAATGGGCAGGTTTTCCATTGTCCCTTGAACACACACCATCAGCTCCTTTCCTAGTTACTGTGAGAGTGTGAAGAGAAAGGGGTAAGATTGTCCTGTAGAGTCGCTCAGGGTGCATCTAATGGTATTGTTGTAGTATATCGGTGGAATCTCCTGTTTTGTGTTTCTGTGAGAATTTGTTTTTAAGTAAGGGAAAAGAACACTGGCCTCCAAGCACAGTTAAACTAAGCAGATGTGGTACAGAAGGGATGTAGTAATGTAAAACTCATATTTAAAATTATACCCAGCTTCAGGACAGGGAAAATTGAACCAGTTACAGAGTCATTGAGGAAAGAAGCCGAAGAAGAACCTTACACGTAGACCGGAAAGTCCGAATCGGGGGGAGAGGGGAACCGAAAGCAGTGTGTGTGGAGACGGGACGGGGCCGGCAGTAGCCCTGAGGCGCGAGGCTGGGCATCGGTGTGGAGCAGAACTAACTGATCCCTCCGAGGGCCCGAGGGCCACGGGGGCCTCCGCCCTGATGGATGCCGACGTTGTTGAGGAATCAGCTTGGGCGTGCAAGCTTGCTGTGGTTTGGTAGCAACTACAGTATGTTTTTGGTGGTGGAGTATAGCTCCCTATTTTTTATTCAAACCACCAATAATTAGTGATTTTCCTTTAAGCCTGTGGTTATTACCCCTGGAAGGTGTCTCTGAATTAAAGCGAGGCCTTTCTTCGGCCCTCTATTCCAGAGTTGGTTCTTAAGCAGACCTGTTTTATCAGGAGAGCAGAGAACCCATCTGTTATGGAAATGCATTCCTTAGTCATTTGTTGTAATCATTCATTATATCTTTCTGGTAATTAATTTAATTACTACGGCACCATAAAAACGTAGTTTTCCTTTCTCTTGGGACCTGAAAGCAGCCAGCTTATTTCGTGACCTTTCTTGTCTGTAGACCATTCGAAGAAAGAAGAAGGTTCAGATGCCCGTGAGCCGCCCCGAGCCCGCGCCGGCGTCTGAGCAGGAGGAAGACAGCTACGAGGAGGACACGCACGACCACAGGAGCAGCCGCGGGGCCCTGGCGGGCAGGCGGAGCGAGAAGAGCTGGGCGAGGGACAGGAGCGCAAGCAGAGAGAGGAGTCTGTCCCCGCGATCCGACAGGCGGTCTGTGGCCTCCAGTCAGCCCGCCAAACCCACCAAAGTCACGTTGGTCAAATCCCGGAAAAATGAAGGTATCCCTGCCACCTGGCTTATCATTTTCGCGTGGAAAGTCCGACACTAAGTTTAACGAGAGCGGTCGCGCCAGCTCCCCGTCTTCGCTTCTGCTGCCTTGGCATCCATGCTCCTGTGTCCTCTGCTGTAGGCCAGCTCCTGCCGCGACAGGCTTCAGAGACGACCTGTTGCCCCTCCTTGAGTCATTTGGTTGGATTTGTCCATGGTTGGATTTTGGATTTCTTGTTGTGATCAGAACAGCCACACACATTGTGCTAACAAGAAGTGCCCACCACCAGGTTGAAGCTCAGCGTTTTCCTTGGCGGTTAGGATTAGTAGTAGCATAACCATGGGGAGGAGCAGACTGTTTTTTTAAATGGAGAGGTTGAGGGAAAGGGCCCTTAGGGGCATTTCTCTGTAATTGCGGGTCTTCTGTAAAAAATGTGAAGCTGAAGCCCAGCTGCCCCCCACTGCATCACCTTTGATAGAAAGGAACCAACTGTGGGGATGCCGCTCAGGTGCAGAGGAGCACTTAGCCTGATCGTTCGCTAGAATCATTTTCCACTTAGCAGAACCTCGGGAGGCAGTCCCCGCGGCGCTCTGCCTTAGTCAGCTGCTGCTGGTGGCACAACTTCCTGCTCCGCCCGTGCGTCTGTGTCCTGTGTCCCAGCTGACTGTTGGGCACGTCCACTTAGGTCTGTGTGGGTCCCTCAGACGAAACTCACATCTCCCTCTTACAGTTTCTGCTGTTTCTTAGGAAGTATTCCACTGAATATATTCCATCTACCCAATTTCTCACGCCACTCACAGATGACGCGGTGGTTACCCCCAGTGTTTCCTTTCCCCTCACTCCCCTGTGCCCAGTTAATCCATCCTAACTCCCTGAAGTCCACTCCTAACTGCCCCCTCTGCCTTTCTCCACTGCCCCACCCTCGTCCAAGCTGCCATCCTCTCTTCCAGCTTTATCANACTGCCCCCTCTGCCTTTCTCCACTGCCCCACCCTCGTCCAAGCTGCCATCCTCTCTTCTTCCAGCTTTATCGAGGTGTAATTGACATGGTATAAAAATACATAAAGTTGTATTTATTCACGGTGTCCAGCGTGATGGTTTGGGGTATTGTGTGCGTGATGAAATGATCACCACAGTCAGGTTACTGAATTTATCTCACATGGTTGCCCCGTGTGTGTGTGGTGGGCACCATCACATCCTGAGTGGACGCATCCAGCCCCACGAGGTAGCGCCTGCAGGCCCCCCGGAGCAGTGCCCCGGTTACTTGTCAGCCCAGCTCCCTGCCTGTNACGAGGTAGCGCCTGCAGGCCCCCCGGAGCGGCGCCCCGGTTACTTGTCAGCCCAGCTCCCTGCCCGCGTGACTTCAGCAGACCTGCCAGGTCTGTCCTTTGTGTGTTTCGGGGCATTTGTGTTTAACCGTCTGTCTCTACTGCCTCCCCCGCCAAACACACACATCCACACCCCCTTCAGGTTCAGTGTGAGTGTTTCCACTTGAGCGTTAGCCCAGTTTCCGCGTCAGTGCCCGTAGGACGGCCCTCGCGGGCCCGTTAGCCCTGCCCGGCCCCTCTGAACCCTCGGTCGCGCTCGTGATTGCCGTGGCGGCCCCGTGTCCCCTCTGACTCAGTCGCCAGAGTACAGCCACTGCCTCTCACGTTGCGTTTGGTCCCTGCTTCCATGCTCACCCAAGGAACTGCTTGGGGGAAATGAATCAATTACTCTGTAAGGAGTATTTTGGAGTCACCTCTGCGCTGGTCATTTATAACCTAAACCTTGAACATAGACCATTTCTTCTGTATTTTTCTGTGATGGGACGACAGCCATTTCCAAAGCACACAGTAGATGGCCTGGACCCCCCGGACAGTCATGTCCCTTTTTCACCCCAACGCTTTTCCTGCCTGGGAGTACTCTGTATATTTGCCTTAAGTTAAACTGTAACTGATGTAACTTTCGGAAGTTCAAATAGCAGTTCGATTAACTTATCTCACATTAGAAAGTTTTCTGTTTCCCATCTTGGTTTAGTTTAGTTTTGTTTAAATGCAGTAAGACTTACGAGGCCTTGTCTCCCTCTGACAGAGCTGGGAGCAGTCCCTTTCCTGGCATTGTGTTAAAGTCTTGTTCTAGTTAAAGAAAAAAAAAAATCTACAGCTTTGCAGACCCGGGCAGCTCTCTGGACTCTCCTGGTAATTTCCTCAGCTCTGCCCGCGTCCCTCGCCCCGGATACAGTTCTTTTGCCTCACTCCTGGACTCTGGGTTGGCTGTGGAAAGGACAGGGGTGCATTTTCCTCCAGCCCCAGCCCCCCGGCTGGCTGTAAGCCTTTGTGTGCACTAATACCCAGTAGCCTGTGCTAATTAATGCTCCTGGGTCTCTCTCTCGAGGGCCACCGGTGTGTGGGGTCAGAAAGAAACATTTCTGCTCCAGGACCCGGGGAAAACAAAACCAGGATATGCTTGGTAACAGGCCCTCACTAAATCCGTCAGCCTTTCCTGGCTTTTCAGACCTCAGCCAGTGTGCCGTGCGGAGCTGTAGTCACCCCGCTCCCGAGCGCTGGTGTGTCAGCAGAACGTGGTCAGAGAGGAGCGGCCTCCCCGGGGCGGCGTCTCCTTCGGGAGCCCGCGCTCGCCCTGCTTTCCCCTGAAGGGCAGGCCTGGTGGTGATGAAGGGAAACGCTGTCTTTGCAGGGGGACCAAGCATAAGTTCTTGTTACTGATTATGTTTTAAAACTCTTAAAGTGTTTAGGACTTTACACTAAAGACGCTTAAATATGTGCTTTCAGAATATGGTCTTCGACTGGCCAGCCATATATTTGTAAAGGAGATTTCACAGGACAGTTTGGCAGCAAGAGATGGCAACATTCAAGAAGGCGATGTTGTGTTAAAGGTACTCTCTTAATCTTCATTTCGATGAACGGGAACAGAAGACAGGCTCTAGGGGGAGCACATTTGAAACAGTTTCCCAAACAGCACTAAAATTCCGTGTTTGCGGGGCTGGATCGTTTGCCACTGTCCGTTTTTATGCGTCAACACTGATGCCTTTCTCAGGCACAGAGCCATTGGAGAAAATTAGTCCCTGTGAATTTGTCATTCGCTCGTAGCTACTTGGTGGGGAGATACGTCTCTCCTTATTTGATGAGTGGTTTTGACAGCTGCTCTGGATGTTGTTGAAATGCTGATTCTGTTAATTTGCTTATAAGTAATAGAAAGTGACAGGCTTTGGGGATGCTAGTTTGGGTTTTCCGACAGTAACCGTGTAGTAAAGGTTTCATTACTTCAGGAAAGAGGAGGACTTTGATAATATAGCGAAGTGTGAGGGACGTTTGGGTTTTACCACAAGCCAGGGAGTGGCGCAGACATTTTTGTTCACTATAGACTTAAGTTGGCATTTGTATTTGTGTCATTTACTTTCAACCTACAGTTTCTTTTCTGTTGCAGATAAATGGTACCGTGACTGAAAATATGTCACTGACAGATGCAAAGACATTGATCGAGAGGTCTAAAGGCAAGCTAAAGATGGTAGTCCAGCGCGATGAGCGGGCCACCCTGCTGAACGTCCCCGACCTCGCCGACAGCATCCACTCCGCTAACGCCTCTGAGCGAGACGGTGAGGACGGCTGTGTGCAGGTTCCCTTCAAGTGCCTAGTTTCTTTCGTAAAGCGCTAGGAAGATTGGACGTGTTCGAGTGCAATAATTTTCTACAAGCCGGCCACCTTCGAAATCTAACAATTAACAAATATGTATGTGTAGTTAATTTTATTTTTCCCAGTTTTATTGAGAAGTAGTTAGCATACATCAGTGTGTAAGTGTAAGGTGTACGGCGTGATGATTGGTTTACACACACTGTGAAGTGATGACCACGGTAATGGGGTTTGCTGAGATCATACAGCATCTGTCCTTGCCTGACTTCTTCACTTAGCATAATACCCTCAAGGGCCATCCATGTTGTCACTGGATGTATTTTTTCCGTGGACAGCACACCACTGTTGATCAGTGGCTGATGAAGTTGCTGCTTATATCAACCATTTTTATGAAATTTTATTTAGTAGCTTATCTCCATTATCATTGGAGGACCTCAGATTTTTACCGTACTCATTTCATGGGAAAATAAATGGTGCCCTTTCATTTAACAGACATCTCAGAAATTCAGTCGCTGGCATCAGATCATTCTGGTCCGTCACATGACAGGGCGCCCTACCACAGCCGGTCACGATCTCCCGACCAGCGGTCGGAGCCATCTGATCATTCCAGACACTCGCCACAGCAGCCCAGCAGTGGCAGGTAAGCACCCTCTCCTGTCCAGAATTAAGTAGCATGTATGCTGGGTACTTGTTTCTAACATCGCTTACAGAGAACACTAGGAGACGGGTTTTCTTCTGATTATTCAAGATTATGTCTATTTTTCTTTATCAGTTTAGATATTTCTTATCTAGAAAAACAGAGGTCAGTCAGACTTTTCCTTAAAAGGCCAAATAGTAAATATTTTAGGCATGTGAACCATACAGTCTCCTGTCACTTCTCGGCTGTCTTTGTAGCCCAAAAGTAACATAGACAATATGTAAATAAACAAGCACAGCTGTGTTCCGATAAAACCTTATTTATAAAACTGGTTGGCCCACAGCCGCAGTTTGCTGACCTGCTGCATTAGAAGGTGCTAGCGAGCGTACGTAGCCTGCTGCTCGGGGAGGTTAACCATAGTCGGAGTCCTTCTCGAGACAGATAACCTGGACTTTGGTTTTCCTTTTAAAAATACACTGGTGTTTATGCCAGAGGGTCTGCAGTGCTGGTAGGGTGTGACTGACTTGAGTTTACATTGTCTTTGGGGTCACATGCATGTTTGAGAATCTGAAGAATGTGACGACCCTTATCCCCAGAAAAACACTCATGTACACATGCATGTAGCATTTTACGTAAAATTCCTGGACATCCCCGGCTTTGTAGGCCGCCAGCTAACCTGTGGTTTAACGACCATCCACATGGAGATCCTCTGGAGACACTTGAAAACTTGAGTCCAGAGCCGAACAGTTTAGGATGAGAGACGGTCACGCGGGACCTGTGGGCATCAGGTGACAGCTCAGGCCGTAGAAGCGTAGCATTGCTGCGACAGTGGGGAGGGGGCCGAGAGCCGGCCCGGGGCGCACTCTGAGGGGTGAGGCGGCCGGGAGGACATGAGGAAACAGGAGACGCGGCCAGGAGAAAGCTTTTCTTTAAGGTTGTTGAAAACCATAGTGACACAGCAGCTCATGTGTTTAGGTATTTGTGAAGCCGATGTTCTCTGAATTTCAAATTTTAGATTTATAAACTATATTAATTTTCAGGTTGTAATGATTTTCTTGAAAAGCAGTTATGTCACATGCAAAACTGGCTTATTTTATAACTGATTCCTACGAGCTGCTGCAGGACATTAATTCTAACGGTCCTCCGACAGCAGAGACGTTGCCGGGGAGGGGTCGCTGCCGCGTGCAGCGATAGAGCCGATGCTGTTGATGGATGGCGAGCAGCCCACACTTAACACATTGCTCTCACCCAGGGGCCGCGCTGGCATCAAGCAATCTGGACATAATTTTCCTTTTTAATAAAAAAATATATATATTCATCAAAAACTTGACACCACTGTTTTTGCAAATTCTAAACCTTAGAAAGTTCTTTTCGATCTCAGCATTTTTTCATTTCGATTCCTAAACACTTGGCTTCTGTAACTTCAACTTAGAGGTTGAAGAGGTTTTTAGAAAAGGTTAACTTTTTTCATAATATATTAGGATTCTTTACTGTTCGTGGGAATCTCGAGTATTCTCTTGGGTAACCCAGTTATATGAGATTTTTAAATAAAAATATTGAGTCGCAGGCCCTGTTCTCAGTTCGCCCGAGGTACAGGCGAGGACTCCTTTCCCGTCTGAGTTTCTGGTGCCATCTTCTAACCTGGGGACTTCTGGTGAGAACGTGTGGCACATCCTGAAGGAAAGATGGTGCTCCAGCCACAGGAGAACCGCGTCTTCGTACTATTCCCAAGTTTCATGCTGAGAATTTAATTCCTAAAAATCCAGTAACTGGCCTGTAGGCAGGATGTAAGCTAGTGCCAGTGGCTTAAAGGTTTCACTGCTCCCCTAGAGTCAGTGTCAAAACCCAAACACCTGCAGGTTTAAGTTAGAGGGTGCCCTGCATTTTCAGGAACAGGGTGGATATTTTATAACAGTAAAATCCTAGTGTGCAAACACTGTAGGACCTTCATACCGGCTTTTATTTTAGTTAGTTAGTCTTGTTTGTGGAACTGACCTTGTTATGTAAATGTAATTTAAATTCTGTTTTTGAAACAAGTGATACAAAAATGACTTGATCTCTGAGAACAGTCAGAGCTTAGTGTGTAGAGAGGCCTGGCTTGCCAAAACTCTCTTTCTAGATTCCTGAATGTTTTTGTGTATCTTCAGGATGCGCGGTTGCCCGCTGAGAACACCGCCCTCCTGTGCGGGGCAGTAGAATGCGGGGACTGCTCTGGGTCCCGGCTGCGGGTGGCCTCCCGCGCGGCCTTGAGAGTGGCCCTGCGGCCCTGCCCTCCCTTCCCGCGGCTGCAAGGCAGTGGCCCGCAGGACAGTCGCAGGGAGTGAACCGGTTGCTGCTGCTGTGGGGAGGGCGAGGAGGACTGGTGTCTTGAGTTAGGCTTTCACTGGCCTGTCGTAGGGGCTGGCATTTAACCATCTCCGAGATTTCCTCCTGGAGGAAGTGACCTTAAGCCACGGCATCCCGGCCGTGTAGTTGATAAGAGATTGGCGCCAGATTAAAACTCTTGACTTTTCGAGTCTCTGACCTTGCTGGTTGGAGTAAGGTTAATTGCTACTTAACCTTCATGGGACAGAAATCTACAGAGCATCCCCTTGTCACAGCCCACTGATGTTCCCCTGTGTGGTGGTCTTCTCTTAGGGAGGGAGGGTTATGTGGGCAGAGTTCTGAGAAAAATTCATGAGCTTGTTTCTCATTATAATCAGCTGAGCAACGGACCCTCACTGTTGAATAGAACGGGGGCCCAAACTACAACCTGCTGCCTAGCGTTGCAAATAAAGTTTCATTGCAACCCATCCTGCGTTGACATAATTAAGGTTACAACAGAGGCTGCATGGCCCACTGCGCCATATACCGAAAAGTTTTGCCAATCCCTGGTCTAGAATGTTAAAATAGTTTTGTTTTTAAGCTAAAAAACAGTATATGTGTAGAGCGAATGATTATACTGATTTTCCTCCTAGCTTGAGGTGTTTTTTTCAGAATTGTTTCAGAGCCCACTCCGGGCCCAGACTTGGACCTGTGTGGAAACAGTTTTAATGTGACTCCTGGAATACTTTAAACTGTAGTGGCTCTCTTCACATTCCTGTTGACAGCACAGTCTGGGTCTGCACGTGTCCTTGAATGGTGCCTCCATCTTTTGGTAGATAACAGAAATGCACTACAGAGAGCATCGATTTTTCAAATACTAATCGTATTAAAGATGTAATAGAGTGATGGGAGCCCCATCACTTGAAATGTCATTTAAGTCATAATAATTGTATTATGGAGGGAAAGGTGTTAGACAGTCTGGTGTGAAAATTAGCCAAAGGTGAAAGTGGCAGCAGTTTTGTGCGCTACATGGATCCAGAGTTTGGTTGTCACTGGAGAGGACATTCAGATTAAAATATTACAGTTGATGCTTAGTTATCGAGATGGCAGTTATCATGAATGTCAGTCACATTTTAAGTTTAGAAAGTGTTTCTTTGAAGTTATAGGAAAGAAGAAAATTAATTGAAATGTTTGTTTTTGGATCTTTTCAAAGCAACTAGTCTGCTTGTTGCAGAGCAACAGAAATATCTTAGGACCGTTAAAATTATGTCGTTCTTTAGTTCATTCTCTTTAAAATGCTCATATTTGTAATACATCAGTTGCATTTTTTAAAGCAAAGAATGCAGGGAGGATTTCCTGCCATTATATTCTGAGGCGCCTAGACCAGTTTGGGGGTAAAGTTTAATTGTACCTATTTAGTCTCAGACTACGTGTATGTGAGATTTCATTATGGACACAATGGCTGACATTTTTGAACTTCTATAATTTAAAAGTTGTACATTCCAGTTTTTTCTAAAAGACTTCTACTTACGTACAGCTCCTTTAATGTGTATGTAAGTTGACATTCGCGCACACCCCAGGGAAGAGTTAACGGAACATGAAGATGGGAGCCTGGAAAGTGCCTAGCCTTCCCTGTCGGGAGGAGGGAGGGACTTCGCCAGCAGGAGGCGCGGCCGCTGTGGCTGCGCTCCTTCGTCTTCGTTTGTGACACTGCTCTCTCGGTTGCTCTGGCAGTGCCACTCTAGTTCTAATTACTAGTTTTTTATAGTATTTTGAGAGCTGTTGGAGCAAGTCCCTTGTCATTGTTTTTTAAAAACGATCATTTCTTACGAATGGCTTTCACAACCGTCTGCATGCTCATTTTCCATTTTATGAACATCTAGTCACCGGAGCAGAGAGGAGGAGAGAGTTTCTAAACCTGGGACCGTCTCGACCCCTGTCAAGCACGCAGAGGACCACACACCCAAGACTGTGGAAGAAGCGATAGTTGAGAGAAATGAGAAACAAGCCCCCGCTCTTCCAGGTAAGCCTCGCGGGACACCAAGTCCAGAAAATGTTACCCTCAGATTAAAGATTCACGGCGATTTAAGGGAGACAAAAGGGACTGCCATCATCATCATCATCATTACTATTACAACTATTACTACCTGTGTTTGGATGTTTCTGTATTTGACTTTCAGCATTTTCTTATTGGTGAAGGTTGGCATCAGTAGGCATTCGTGGATTTTTTCTTAGATAGGAATTAGTCATGGTTAACAGCTACTCACAGTGAGGAAGGTTGGTTCTCCAGCACCGCTCGTTGAAAAGAAGCAGAGCCCTAGCCGGTTTGGTTCAGCGGTTAGAGCATCAGCTTTTGAACTGAAGGGTCCCGGGTTCAGTTCCAGCCAAGGGCACATGCCCATGTTGCAGGCTCGATCCCCAGCCCCGATTGGGGCACATGCTGGAGGCGACCAATCAATGTGTCTCTCTCACATCAATGTTTCTCTCTCTCTCTCCTCCTCCCTTCCCTTCTCTGGAAAATAATAAAAAGAAATGTTAGATTGGCTTAATACAAAAAAATGTTAAAGTCATTTGCTTATTGAAAGTGTTTTCATAAACACTGTATTAAGTGTACCTTGTAGAGCTGTGTATGAGATCAGACATAAGAATCGGCAAGGTTTAGAGATCTGCTTGCTTGAAAGGCCTGGAGCTTTTGGTTCTAATGTCTGTTAATTCCTTTTATAAGATCTTGTTTTTGCTCTACCTGTTTAGGGGCGGGAATGATGGATATTTAAAAATAAAGATCACCACAGGGAAGACAGAAGGCTGCTTTGACAGCCATAGCAGAGACGTAGGTTCTCCTACATTCTTACCCTCCTATGCCTCTTCCTCAGGATAGATTTTTTGTGGAAAGCACAGGTGATCGTGTAACACCCATACCTATAATATTCGAGTTTTGCCCAGTCGACGTGGCTCAGCGGTTGAGCATCAACCTAGGATCCAGGAGATCAAGGTTCGATTCCTGGTCAGGGCACATGCCAGGGGTGCAGGCTCCTCGATCCCCAGCAGGGGGCGCACAGGAGGCAGCCGCTCAATGACTCTCATCATTGATGTTTCTCTCTCCCTCTCCCTGAAATCAATAAAAACATATTTTTAAAAAAGAAAAAAAATATGCTGAGCATTTCAGTGTTCAGAATTTCAAAATGTATGTTCGTTCCTAAAGAACATTTGTGTATTTGGCAATTTTTACTATTCTCTTCTGCCATTTAATTTACTAGAGTGAAAAAAAATAAAGACATTACAGTTCATAATTACGCCACACTTGATCACGTACTATACATTTTCCACATCAGGTTCTCTGAACTTACATATTCGGCAAACTTCCTTGTGTGGTTATTTCACTGGTTGCTTACATTATTATTCCACTTTTTAATAAGTGATTTCTGCACCGTTTCAATTTTCTTTCTTTTAGAACCAAAGCCTGTGTATGCTCAGGTTGGACAACCAGATGTGGATTTACCTGTCAGCCCGTCTGACGGTGTCCTGCCAAATTCAACGCACGAAGAGGGGATTCTCCGGTAATGTGATTTAAACTTGCGTCGTCTCCTCTATCCATTACTGAGCATTCAAGTGAGAGTTCAGTTGCAAACCATATCGCATATACTTTTTAAAATAGTGTATACGATTAATCCTGTGATTAGGGGTTTTACAAGTTATTTATATGATAGAATCAAATTAGAAAACAACAAAGGAACTTCCTGGATGTTTACTTTTTTCACCACTATCTCCTACCTGGTTTTTAGGTTGTGAATTAAAAAATTATTTTCTGCTTAACCATCAGATTTTCCACAAGATTTCTAATTCCGTAGTGTTAAATAAGTACATAAATAAAATTAGCATTCCTCCATTTCAGGGTTGTTGGCATTTTGGCCAGATTACTGTTTACCGTGTTTGCATGGTGGCCTGTTCAGTAGCATCCCTGCCACTAGCTGACAGCACACACCCCTCCGCCCCCCTCCCGTTGTGACAACCAAAAGTGTTTCCAGACACTGCCAGATGTGTCCTGGGAGCAGAGTCACTCCTGGTGGAGAGCCTGCTCTAGGATAGTTAGCATCGCTAAGTTTTTGATATTCTACACCTTTTATTACTTTATATTCTATAGGCAATGGGATCGAGATCTAAAAGTTATAACTAGATTTCAAACCATCTTGATTATTAAATTAGTTTTGTGTTGCTTCTGTGGTCAGAGGGACATGTTGTGACACTGAGACTGAGCCTGAAGCTGCCTTCGAATAGTGGTTTTTAACAGCAAATTTGACTCATGAAGGCAGACGACAGTCACCACGTTTACTTGGAGGCTCACTGGGTCGGTCAGTGTTCCAAGAGGGTTCCCCGGGGCCTGGTGTTGTAAGGACTTGGGGGCCGTGTTTCAGAGAGCTCCCTGCACACTTGGTTCAGAAGATGAGTTTGTTGATGAGCTGTTGGGCTCGCTGGAAAAGTCAGGTAACCTCACAGGGGACTCAGCCCTTCGTGATCGGCAAGCCACCAACGCGGGCAGTGAGTGACCTCGTCTGACCGGGAGGCTCTTAGCTTTTGTCTAGATAACGTGAGTCCAGACGAGGAAACCGACCGTGAAGGCCTCGTCAGTTCTAAAGGCTAAGCCGGTTTAAAGGGACTGGACAGCTTCCCTTTCCTCAACTCATTTATTTATTCGATTTGTGTGTTTTCAGTTATATTCTAGTGTCTGATAGGTTGCTCATTGTTGCTCGGTGAATAAAGAGGAAAGGGACTTTTTCTACACTCATGTCAAAATAGGCAGAAGAGCTTCGTGGCGAGGAGTGTGTGGTACGGAAGCCCGGCAGGTAGTTGGTAGTTGTGCGTGTGGTGTGTGATTCATTCCCGCGGGGAGCTTGCACTACGCGCTGCTCCTGCCGGCGTTCTCCTAAGGCCACCTCCAGGCTGGGGTTTGAGGAGCGCCACAGGTTGTGACATCACACAGGCTGTGGAGGCTGTGCGTGCATGGACTCCCCCCATCCTCTCTAGCGAGGAAGGGGCAGAGGCTGAATGCTGAATGCCTGTAAGGTGGCTATTTCAATGCAGGGGGGCTGCAGAGTACGTGATCTTCGTGGCCACTGAGAGCCCACGAGCCACCAAGTTTCAGAGCCCGGCCATGGGCCGTGGAGATCCCAGTGCGTGGAGCCTGGTGCCTACTCCCTGGTGTTAGGGAAATTCGTAGTCGTTTATGCTCCGTTTCCACCTGTATAAAGCAGTGCTTCTCAGTTGTTCAGTAGAGGTGCTGTGGTATGAATTGGGTTAGTAAAAAATGGGTGTTTTAGCCACTGGGAATGCAATGCACCCTACCTATAGAATCAAGACCCTGAGACTGGTGGGAACATTATTTACATTGTGTTATAAAGTAATTGCATTATAAAGTAATTATATAATGTAACTACACTACATTATAAAGTAATCTTAGAAATTAGTATGTAAATCAGTACTTGCGTATTAAATTTGGGTATCTTAAAACTTATTTTGTTAATCAGAAAGTAAAAGAAAATGCTGTTAAATCTGATTTGTTATTCTGTCACTAAATTTTATTCATAAATTAGTGGTGTGGGGCATTTCAGAGATGACGGTCCTTTATTTCATTCTGAATTTGGTTTTCATTGTAGCATGTTGCTCTAACTTTTCAAGCCTCTCTTAACTGTTTCAAATGAGATATTTGTTTCAACAGGCCCAGCATGAAATTGGTAAAATTCAGAAAAGGAGATAGTGTGGGCTTGCGGCTGGCTGGTGGCAATGATGTCGGAATATTTGTAGCTGGCGTTCTAGAAGATAGCCCTGCAGCCAAAGAAGGCCTGGAAGAGGGTGACCAAATTCTCAGGGTACGTCAGCGCCCCAGCTCCTGGGGGTTTGAAGCACTTAGAACCCTCGCGAAAGGCAGCCGGCTCGGCAAACCTGTTGAACTAAGTAGCGCGTAACCGACATCACCGTCCCTCGAACCAGCTAAGCATTCAGGTGACAGACCCCACCAGGTCGTGGGTGTGCTGCACCCGTCACCTCCCATTCCTGCCCTTGCTCTTGCTGACCGATGCGTCACCACCATGGGTGATGCTTTCGTCTCATTTTAGTCATTGGTGGTGACAAAACTACAAGACAGACTGAGTCCTAGATCCCTGTGATAGGCACCTTTTAGTTCAACTAAACATTCCGGCTACCAAGACTTCTGTCACAAGCCACAACTTGCCAGCCGTCCCCATGGCCCTCGGGGACTGCCTCGCCCCGGGTGACGGCTCATGCACAAGGAGATGGCTGGCCTGCCTTCCTTCCTTGTTTCTTTTCATGGTCTTTCTTTTTCACAATGTGGCCAGTAACATGGGCACATCTTTACCTGTCTCTTCTCTTCTTTTTAAAATATCCAAACTGCTGTTAGAGGAGCCACTTTAATCAGAAGATCCGATCTGTCAAGTGTGGGTTTCTGTGTACTCTACTCACCCTGGCGTGGTCATTGCCTCCTCGATTCTGGCACCTTCCTGCCTGCAGGCTCCCGCCTGCCCATGCCCGGGGTCGCCTCTCCTGGCTCCTCAGCTCTCCCCCACGGGCTCATTTCTCTCCTTTGCTTTTGCACCTCTCGCGTGCCTTCCCTCCTGCGTCCTTTCGGCCATCGCTGTCACAGAGCTGAGTAGTCTGGCTTCCACCTTAACCACTGAGAACCTGAGCTTCCATGAGCAGCCAGGGACCTGGTGCCCCTTTATTTCCTCGCCGTGCTTTGAAGTCTTAAGTTACCCTTCTTGAAAAGCATTCTTCCTTGGATTCCACAACTCTGCCATTCTGCTCCTCCTCGAATCTTAAATTCTTTTCCTGCCTTTTTTAATGATTTCTCTAAACTTGAGGGAATCTGGGCACACATAATTTTAAAAATGTTTCTTGTTTATTTTTGTTTTGGACCATAAAAGTGGTGCATGTTGAATTTCTTTTTTTAATGTGGGAAATTTCCAGAAGACAAAAAGCAGAACATCTGCCTGTCACCCAGCGCACAGCAACTGCTGACATCTGGATGTGTCCCGTTGGTCCTTAGGGGCGTCTGGTGTAGTGACTGTCGCTCGGCAGCTGCTGAGCCTGCGTCAGTGGCGCAGGTGCTCTTCCAGCGACGCCACAGCGCGTCCCCGTTGCTCTTTCTTCCCATTCCCTTCTCATTTCTTTCACAAAGTCTAGTAAAGCAGGGATCTTCGCACATTCACAGAACTTAACATTTAAAATTGTAAAGCCAGGGATTTTCCAATAATAAATATTTGAAATTAAATGTAGTCTTTTGATCTAAAACCAATTGGTGAGATTTTGCAGTGGATACTCTTTAAATGAATTTACACCTTCGCTCACTATTTACTTGTTTTAAATTACAGTATATTCTTTTCTCCAAAGTAAAGCAAAATTTTCCCTCTTAAATAAGCTGTGATATTTTAAGTTAGGCAAACTCTGAGAATATTTGTTTCCTGTGATGATATTTTTGTAACCCTAAAATACGGCCAAGAGTAATTTGTGAAATGCATTTTACAGGTAAACAACGTCGACTTCACCAACATCATACGAGAGGAAGCTGTGCTCTTCCTGCTCGACCTCCCGAAAGGAGAGGAGGTGACCATTCTGGCCCAGAAAAAGAAGGACGGTGAGAGGCTGTCAGGGTGGGGACAGCAGGCCCGAGAAATCTGAGGGCTGACGTAGGGATTTTAATTTTCGTTTTTAAATAAGTCACTCAGAAGTCGAGGGATGTTTGAATTTGTTAATCTCACAGGGGGTTGACTTAGTTTAAGTCATCAGGGGCTCACAGCCCGATTCTGTGCCCATTAGCACAGCACAGTAACAGGACCAGGCAGCCCCCTGAAGGACCGTTTCATGTAAGTGGGGTGCCCTCCACCCCAGTGCAGGCAGAGCAGTCCCAGTATTTATTCGCCGTCAGGACCACACACAAGTGCATATGGGCAGCTTCTGAATTTTGTGCTGATGTTTTCTAGGCAATATACTCTCTGAGGTTTGTTAGCATTAATTTAAAAAATGCCTGATTTTCTCTGGTTAAACAGATAAACTGTTCATCTAGAACAGGGTTCCTCAGGCTCGGCACTGTTGACATTCGGGGTTAAATATTTGGATATTTATAACATTCGTGGGCCACACAGAATTATGAGCTTAAAAATTAGCTATGAACAAAGCTCTTAGATGTATTGAATTTTGCGTCCCTCCTGCGCAGGGCCAGACCAAATGATCTCTTTGTCAGAAAAAAGGTTCCCCACCCCTGGTTTAAATAGAAAGCTCGTGTGGCTTCGGACAAGCTGCTTGATCTGTTTGTGCGTCAGTTTCCTCGCCTGCAGTGCAGAGGTGTTGAGGTCCCATTTCTTGAGGTAACGATGACGTAGGTGAGGCAGTTGTCCCTGCAGGGCCGTGCGGTCAGGATTCAGCGCCTGCTGGACACTTGGGTTTGTTGTTCGTGTTACCGACAGCGTCCTCCCGTCCTGTGTTCTCTTCAGGCTGATGTCTTATCCCACTAGCTGCTCATGATGTTTTTGTCTTCATTCTTTCTAGTTTATCGTCGCATCGTGGAGTCAGACGTAGGAGATTCTTTCTACATTAGAACCCACTTTGAGTACGAGAAGGAGTCGCCCTATGGCCTCAGTTTCAACAAAGGCGAGGTGTTCCGTGTCGTGGACACCCTGTACAACGGGAAGCTGGGCTCGTGGCTGGCGATTCGAATCGGCAAGAGTCACAAGGAGGTGGAACGGGGCATCATCCCTAATAAGAACAGGTACGAATGGTGGCTGCGTCTTAGGACAGATTCAGTAGCGACGACAGAAGGTGTCAGTCCCACTGGGAATGTTGGTCACGTAAAGAGTTAGTTTCCATTGTCGCCGTACCTGTCATTGCCTTACTCGTACAAACTCCTCGATTTTAGTGTCACCGTTAAGGTGTAAACTGCATGTGAGGCTCTATCCAGACCTCGGGCGTTTCATTCACTGTGGGTCTTTTTTCATTCTGTGGTTTTAAAAACCCTCCTTTGACTTGTGCCTTCCCCCGGGCAGAGCTGAGCAGTTGGCCAGTGTGCAGTACACACTTCCAAAGACAGCAGGAGGGGACCGTGCGGACTTCTGGCGGTTCCGAGGCCTGCGCAGCTCCAAGAGGAACCTCCGGAAAAGCAGGGAGGACTTGTCGGCTCAGCCGGTCCAGACGAAGTTCCCGGCCTATGAAAGGGTCGTTCTTCGGGAAGGTAGTTCATCCCCCACAGGCTGACCTCTACCCTTTAATGTCCACATGCCTGAGCAAAAAGCGTAAACTGTGCTACTGTCCCTTGACTTTGTCCCCAGCTGGATTCCTGAGGCCTGTAACCATCTTCGGACCGATAGCTGACGTGGCCAGAGAAAAGCTGGCGAGAGAAGAGCCAGATATTTATCAGATTGCAAGTAAGTGGCCGCAATACTGGCTAGGATGAGGCCGAGGTTTTCCTTCACTAGTTACCCCCCTGAGGAATGGTCTGGTCCATTCACTTAAGTCAAACCTTTTGTAAGTATTTGACTCGATGTGTTTAACTGGGAGGGAACCTCAGTGGTTGTGTCCGTGTTCTCCGAGTCGCCTTTAACAACAAGAGTCACTGTTTATGCGGCTCTGGGCTTTATAAGAAAATGCCTAGCAGACGGCCTTGTTCAATCCCAGCGAAGTCCCCATGGGGAAGTATTGGTGCAGAAGTTGAGCACCCCGAGCCTCAGGGTGGTATGAGCGGGACCACCCCCAGCCTCTAGTCTGACCTTTCCTGATGACACCCGGCCAGTGAGTCACAGAACTCGGGCTTTGAACCCAGCCCTTCCGGGTTCCAGCCCCGTGCTCGCAGTCATCAAGCTAACAAATACTCAAATATATAGAAAGGGTAATGAGAGCATCGTTCATGCTGTCGGTTATTATTGCAGACATTTATAGCAAGAGTATAAATATTGAGGGTGGTGTAGTGCTTTAGATGCTTAATAGATTCTGCCTGCAGATTCTTTCAGTTTCACTTAGTGTGGCTGTTCCAGGGGTTTAAATATACAGACTTAGTTGCGACCACTTTGGCTTACATAAGTTATATGTAAAAACACAGGTAACTTATGTTGTATGCATTCTATGTAAAAACCTGGTCACCAGAGTCACAAACGTTGCTGTGCTTTTTCGCATGGGCCTTCATGTACATCGGACCCCTGAGGGTCTTGGTTAGACGTCGACCCAAGCTGCAGTGGGCAGGTCGGGCACCAGGAGGGAGGGCCAGGTGGCGGTGTGAAAGCACAGGCTGTCTCACAGTTACGCGGGAACGGCCCCTGCTCCCTGCTCCCGCGTGATCTGTGGAAGGGCTAGCCCGGGACTTGGACCCAGTCTGTTGTCACAGTGTTGCCGGTGGGTTACGGACCTGCCCAAGTGTGACCTCAGCCCTCAGTGGCTGGGGGGGCCGCGGCCAGGAGAGGCCACCTCAGTCTGGCTCAGTGTGTGGCACAAGTGGTACCATTTCTCCTGTGTCGGCAGCACGAAAGGTTTAGAGGCAGCCCCAGGCCAAGCCGTATGGGAGCCTTAGCAAAGAAAAACAAGCATTCCTATGTACATGTTTTTGTGTTTTCCTAACAGCTAATTTTTCTCTAGAACAGGAAAATAGATTGAAAATTGTTGTGAAACATGAAAAATATGCATATTAAAACTCATTATTTTAAGTTTAAACACTTCGTTTATACCAAACACAGAATTTATCATTTCATTCTCTCGGCTTTAATGGAAGCAAGCTCGATACTGTAAATCTAGCTTTTTCAGTTGCTGTATTTGACAGTTTCTCTTGGCCAAGTGAGTCTTAAATAATTTCATTCAAGTTCCATTTCCTGATTCCCTTTGAAATTTTGGTATGTTCATTGTGTAGAGTATTAGTTTTGATTTTTGGAACGAACTGTATCCAAATACTACCTGATTACTGAGGTTTGGGGGGGCATTAAACCTTACACCCGAGCAGGTGCCTCCCTCGCCCCCTCCTAACCCCAGCGTCGTTGGGAAGCGCCAATCCGCCCCAGTGGCTCTCAGGGCAGTTCTGCCCCGCTGGGGACGTCTGGCTGTCTGGAGATGGTTTTGTTGTCACCGTGGGAGCAAGAGAGGGGGGCGGAGGCCAGAGATGCTGCCAGACAGGCCATGGCGCACGGGACGCCCCACAGCTGCCCGCTGGTTGGGAAAGTCGATCTAACCAATGGAAATTGATGCTCTGTCTTTGTCCTGACTGCGTGAGTAGAGAGCGAACCCCGAGATGCTGGGACTGACCAGCGCAGCTCCGGCATCATTCGCCTTCATACAATAAAGCAGATAATAGACCAGGTGAGTCACGGAACGTTGACCTGTTGTGTTACAGGCTGTGAGTGTCGTGTTTCTGAGTGGGAGGAGGTCTGCTTCATTTGAAAGTAGAAAGTCGTTTTTCTACAGTTATTTTTGCTGTACCGTCCTGAAGGGTTAATTACCAGGTTCAGGGGAGTAGCATTACATGTGTCTAAAGATGGTTTTTTTATTACCGTAAAATGTACTGTTCAAATATATTAATATGTTGTGTTCATATTGCATTAGTACAGTTCTAGTTGCACTTCAATATTTGTGGTAGGGAATCTGTTTTTACTGTACAGGATTATGTCAGGAACATTTAATTGTTACACATGTAATCTAAGACAGTGATTTTTAACTGGTGAGCTGCAAGAATCTTTAAAACATGCAATACCTGACTGTTTAGTTGGGGGACATTGGCCTCTTTTCCCTTAGATTGTCACATAAAAAAAGGACAGCCAACACAGCAATAGCCATCTGGTATCCAAATTAATACTTTTTTTTTTTCTTCTTGGCCACTGAGGGGAAAAAAATATATTTTTTGGTGTGCCACAGAATTTTAGTAATTAGTTTGTGTGCCTTGGGATGGAAAAGGTTGAAAGTCGCTGATCTAACCGGACACGGGTAGTACTGTCAGTTGGCAAGTACGAGGGTGTCTTATAAGCGAGCTGGTTAAAAGTTGTTTGTTGGTTTTTTAAGTCGGGCTGGAAATTGTATTGATGTAACTGCTGGTGGCAGATTTTCTGCCGTGCTCCTGAGACCCCGGAGCGCAGCGGAAGGCCCGTTGCCGCTGGGATACAATCTAGGCTGTGGCTTTTTCTGTGGTGATTCTTTACTAACTGCCTTGTACCCTTATTTATTCTTTCCTCCGTGTCTCCAGGACAAGCATGCTTTATTAGATGTGACCCCAAATGCAGTCGATCGTCTGAATTACGCCCAGTGGTACCCCATTGTGGTATTCCTGAACCCCGATTCCAAGCAGGGCGTGAAGACAATGAGGATGAGGCTGTGTCCAGAGTCTCGGAAGAGTGCCAGGAAATTATACGAGCGGTCTCACAAACTTCGTAAAAATAACCACCATCTTTTTACAAGTGAGTGTTTTCAAGGCCTTTCAGCTTCAGTGTCTGGGCAGGAGCACGTAGGCAAACGTTCTGATGCTAAAGCTCGCCTAACCTTGGCACGGGAGGCTTCCTGCTGTAGCTCAGGTCCCATTTGACTGGCAGGAAATGCCCAGCGCCCAGATAGAGATTTCAGGTGGTGCCCTCAAACGCCGCCTTTCAGATGGCTCAGTGGTGGGTGAGCTCCAGCAGGCTCAGTGAAATCTGACTTTGGGCTGTGTCCTGGCTGTAAAACAGTGTCACTCCTTTACTTTCAGCTACGATTAACTTAAATTCAATGAACGACGGGTGGTATGGTGCCCTGAAGGAAGCCATTCAGCAGCAGCAGAACCAGCTGGTGTGGGTCTCTGAGGGGAAGGTAAGGCATTTCCTGTTGTTTTCAGCCTGTTCACTCAACTACATAGCTAGTCAGAGATGCCTTTGAGTTACTTTGCTCTCTCATTGGTTCCATTTTTACTGTTTGTCTATGGGGATTGTGCAGGTGGTTTTTGATAGCAGGCTTGTCAGCAGTGTCCTCAGCTATTGAGTTGCCACCCCAGTGGTGTGCCGTTCCCTCCAGAGAATTCTTAAGTGACCACTAACGGAGCAGGGTTGCGTTCTGGCTCCGCCCCGCCTGACTGAGGAAGGACTTGGAGCCTGGCTTCAGTTTCCTCCTGTGAAAATGAGGGGAGTGGGTGAGCTGGACGAGTTCCCAAAATGCTGTCCTCGGACCATGAAACTCAGAGCCGGGGGCGGGCACCCTGTCAACCACCCACCCGCGGAGAGGGCACCACCTCCCCAGCACGTTAAAGACTTAAAAGTGCGCTTCCCCAAATTCTTACCTGGGGACTTTTTCCGCTCAGCGCCCATTAGCATTCTTGTAACACACCATGAAATGTTGGACAAGGCAACATGTCCTTTTTGGCTGTAAATTTTAATTTTCTATACACGCAAACGGCCAGCTTTAAAATACCTGATTTCTGCTCTCACTTCCAGGTTTAGAGCAATCTTTAATAGGAAAGGTCTGTTTGTTTTGTTGGGAGAGTTCAGTTTTCTCAAAGTGTACAGTTGAAAGAACCTCTTGATTTTAACGTCTTTTACTTTCCGATCAGTACAGTGTGAATACGTTTTGGTTGCTCAGGAAGATTGAGAATGTCTGTTTCCATTTCTTCGTTGGCTGAGTTGTGTTGTGTTTGCCCTGCATGGCTGCCCTCCCTCCATCTGGCTGTGGGTGCAGGGGCTCTGGCAGTTTGCATGCTGCATGCTCAGGAGCACCGTGCCCCCGCCCAGAACACCGCAGCCTCGCAGGAACAGCAGCTAACACGCTGACATGTAGAGGGAGTGTCCATGCCCCCACCTACCTGAGCATCTGCACCCCCGCTCTTCTCAGCAGCAGCACCCTAGGGGTGGGCCCTACATGAGATCTCTCAGCACTTTGAGTAACTCACATATCAGCTGGCACACCTGAGCAGTGAATCAGGGTGGAAAATAACCCGCAACACTTTGCAGCAACCTGCTGTTACTCACCTCGGGGCCTCTGATGCAAAGGACCACAGCGGTCTGCTTACTAATCCTCTGACAACACAGCCTGTTAGCGCCCTTTGTCAGGGAGACTGCTAATCGCACTGGTGATTCTTGAAATGAGATTAGCTTGTAAATGCGCAGAGTATACTGTCTACCTATCTGAGAGGTTTTTTAAATCCTCAAGTTTTCCTTTTCTATCATTTCTCCTTGTGATATTGTTTCCTTTCTTTGCTTGGATTTAAAAATAAAGGTCTGACTCCCCCAACTTCTTATGTGAGGAGAGTAGATTAATTATTATCAGGATAGATTAATGCATTTCGTAAACCACAAAAATTGGTTACTGTTGAAATCAAGCGTGATTTTTCCCACCCCTTCCATTCAAGAGTATTTCCCCTGAAGAGATTCTTAACCTAAAACCACTTCCTTTCCCGTTGACTTTCCTGAGCTGCTTTGATCTAACCGCTGTGCCGAGATCCTTTGTACAAGATCAGAGTCTAGTATGTTCCGTACTAAACCGAGAGAAGCCGTCCTGAAACTCTTCACACGCAGGCGTGTGTCGTCTGCCACAGCAGCCCGCGGGTCTCGCTCACTCCCGCACTTCATGCCGCTTGCCGTGAAGCACTAGGTGGGTTGTGAGCTCCAAGTTGCTCTTCCCGGGGCCTTAGCATTTCCCTGGCCATCTACTGGGTTGCGTTCTTCAAGGTCCCGGCAGACGGCAAGGAGGCTTCTCTTCTGCAGCAGCTCAGACTTTAGAAGCCACTGAGACTCAGTGGGACAGACGCTGCTGTGACGGATTCTCACTGTCCCGACCAGCGGGGCTCGGCTGCGACCCGGAGCCTCCAGGAGGCCGGCGCGCTGGTCTTCCCGTGGAGGCAGCGCTGAGGGCGGTGCTCAGCCGGGCGGGGGCTGCGCCGAGGCCCTTTCCGGTGGCTCCAGCCTTACGTTGCTCCTTCGGTCCGCGCTGAAGGAAGAAAGACTGTCTGCGTTGTGGGCTCCAGATCCTTCAGCTCGTGCTCACTGGGCACCATGTCCAGGCAAGAGCTTTAGGGACCGTTCCGTTTACGAGTTTCCGATGAGTACCGGGGGCCAGCCTGTTGGCGCAGCGCCTTCCTTCCCTCTCCCGCAGATGCTTCTCCTTCCTTTCTGGCCGCCTCAGAAGGTAGTGTAGATGCCGAGAAACGCGCTCGGCTCTTAACTCCTAGCTGAGGAGAGCGTGATTCCTCCCTCGCCATCCATTGGGTGATACATCTTTGAAAAATGACAGAAAATTCTTAGTGAGGCAGCCAGTGCCTAGGTGACGATTGTCCATTGTGCTTTATAAAGGCGTAAGTGCTTCCTCAGCTGGAACCGTGGCATTGATTTTCCCGCTGTTCTTCCGTGCGTGTCCTGTCGCATGTCCTTCTGTGAGCGTGGTTGGGTAGCACTTCCCTCTTCACCTTGCCTGGGGCTGACACGCTAGCGACTGAGTAGGTTTTATGGACTTGAGTGGTGCCAGGATGCCTTCCTTGTCTTCGAGGCTGGACCCTAGAGCCCAGCTTTGTCCCTCTTGGCCAGCGACACTCACTCATCCAAGCCCTCAGGTCTCAGGATGCTCTGTGTCTGCATGTGTGCCTGTACAATCTTCTTGGCCTTCCCTTAGCAGAAGTTTCGAGAACTAGGCATGATTTCTTCAAAGAAGACTATCCTTTTCAATCTCCTTTGTAAAATAAAGGCCATCTCTTAAGGAACTACTGAATAAAATTTTTAATTTACTTTTATTTGACCCAGGCGGACGGTGCTACAAGTGATGACCTTGATTTGCATGACGATCGGCTGTCCTACCTGTCAGCCCCGGGTAGCGAATACTCAATGTATAGCACGGACAGTAGACACACTTCTGACTATGAAGACACAGATACAGAAGGCGGGGCCTACACTGATCAAGAACTAGATGAAACTCTTAATGATGAGGTTGGGACTCCCCCAGAGTCTGCCATTACCCGGTCCTCTGAGCCCGTAAGAGAGGACTCCTCTGGAATGCATCATGAAAGCCAACCCTTTCCTCCTTACACACCACAAGCGCAGCCACAGCCAGTCCATAGAATAGACTCCCCGGGATTTAAAACAGCCTCTCAACAGGTAAGCGGCGAGCGTTCAACGTGTCGTAGTCAGGGGTGCATATCGAACTCGAGAGTGGTGGTGGAGGTAAAGAATGTGCTCTGTCCTTTCTCCAGATTAAGAAGTAATTTTTAATTTCAAGTTGAAAATACCAAGGACCTTTTTTTTTTTTTTTTTTT